TACGAAGCTTTATTATAGCACTATTATGTTTATTGTTTTAAACTCTAATTCATTTACTCAGAAAAAACCATTCTATTAAGAAATTTTATATAACCATCATTAAGAAATATATTGTTTTTATATGACTACTTCATTTTAGACAACATATTACTTTACGAAGCCAAATAATAGATTACAAGACTTAGTTGAATATCAATTGTGTAGATCTTTTGAAATTTAATATATAATTAGGTGCTTTTATAGTGTTGGAAACATGATTTTGTAAGTAATTATTTTCTTCTCAGAAGACATGCTGTATTTTTGTCTTAAATCTGGCTGGTATTTCTAGGGAAGATAATCTTTTAGAAGACTTTTGCTTACATTTTTGTTTGATTTATCCCTTAGAAAATTTCATGAATATATGATGTTGACTGAGCAATGCTACTAAGGCATTAGTTTTATATCATTATGCCACAATGGCAAATGGTATGAGAGCGACTAAATGGCTAGTCAATAAGACAGTGATTATTTCTGGTGTTTTTTTATTAAACACGATCTGTAGCTTTCATAAAGCATAATAAAATCTGAGATAGAGTTAGTAATTCATCATGAATCAACTTGATCTGCTTTATGTAATCTTAAACAATGCCTAAGCCTAGGGAAAAGCCACTTTAATAAAGGGAGTGTACCAAGTGCTTTCTAAATTTACAGCTGATATCACTCAAAACAGTTTTATGTATCTATCATGCACATAAAATAAATTATGTCATGATGCAAAATATTTTCCAACATGATGATAATATAAGTCGAGCCTCCAGCAATGCACACTTCACATTATCAGATATACCCCATTAAATAGAGAGTTCCTGATTTCGAAGCAGAGAACCACTGTACACATAAATAGCAATCCTGTAACTGTCTAGTAGTGGGTGGTTTTACTATACTTTACCTTGTTGTAATGATGCTATTAATTATATCTTCAAAGATATCCCTAATTAATATATATTCAAATATTAATTTGATCCAAGACAATCTGATATTTATTAGTAACAAAGTGTCATGCACATATTTCATGCGAAATATAATTATTTTTGGCTTTGTATATATTGTTAATGTTTACTTCAGGACAGCGTGGCTATTGTTGTAATTGTAAGTCACTTTGGTTTTTTAATTTGCAACCTACTGGTGGGTTGGAATGAGTATAAAAGAAAATCATCTAATATGAATGTGTTGTCAACTCCATTGATGGCTGCATGAAATCTTTAGGCGCTATCTATCCTGCATCAATAATTTTTTATACAGAAATATGCAATAGTTTTATAAAACTATGTAAAGTCTTGAAGTCTCTTAGATAACTGTTAATCAATAATACACTAATAGCCATTAAAATTGCTATAGCATGAAGGAAAGCAAATAAAAAAAATATTTGTTGTGCGTAGGTATGAAGACAAAAATGATTAAATTTGTAAGCAGCCTGGGGTTTACAAGGGTGCGAAATCAGTCGAAACAACAGCTCCACCTGGCAGCTAAAACGGCCCTTATCCGGTTAGGCACTGAGTAGAATTTCACTTGAATGACAGAAATCGGCATCTCATTCCATTCTGATTCAAGTCCATGCCACACTTCATCAATCGTATTAGATGGAGAGGGTTGCTAGGCCAGTCCTCAGCAAAAGCAGGTATTTTCAATGGGTGACAGATCTGGAGACCGTACAGGCCAGGGCAGCAATCAAATACACCTAGGAAGGTCAGAACACAATGTGCAACATGTGGTCTTGAATTATCCTGTTGGAAGATTGCATTTGGCAGGCCTCAAAGATAGGGCACAACCCCTGGATGTAAGATGTCACAAATATACCGATCTGGCATTCAAATTACCATCGATCTGAACTAAAGATGTGTGTGCCATGTGCTCAGTGGCTGCCTATACCATCACATTAGGGTTCCTATGCTGATACTGAATGCAACCAGGCGATGTGCGGTCTCCTTGGAGCCTCTAGACACTTATACGACCATCAGAATAATGCACACAGAAACGGGATTCGTCTGAAAAGACGACATTGTACCCCTCCTATATCCAGCTTTGCTGTTGGACACACCACAGTCGCCATCTCTCTCTGTGCTGCATTGTTCAAGGAAAGCCTAAAGTAATGGACACTGTGCTGATAGTCCATGCTGATGCAAACGTTGATGCACCATACGAGCAGATAACTAGGCATGCTGCAAACATGCCCATTTTCTGACTAATGGTCCTGTGATGTGGTTGTAAATTTCACAGGGCTGACCTCACAATATGCCTGTCCTTTCGGGCGTATTAATCATGGGACGGCAATGAGATCCTGCATGCCGTTCAGTATAATCCTCAGCATTCCATTTACATGCCATATTCGCTTAACAGTGGTTGGATGTGTCGACTAGTGCAACGGGCGATATCACAGAGCGATAATCCACATACTCTCAATAGGCAAACAATCCCGGCTCTACTCGAATTCTGACCCTTGCTGGTAAGCATTTCAAATTATTATTCAAGGCATACCATGATATTCTGAGCACATTCCAACCTTGCTAACAAAGTGCTTTCCGAATGACAAATCCACTAACACAACTTTTTGAAATTATTAATTCACCATGCCAAACTTTGCCTAGACCATAGAAATACCATAATGACTGTTTCCAAAAGTTTTTGAATGCTTATTTTTTTCCTGTTTGATTCACATAACTTAGTATGCAACTGAATACCCACATCCAAAACTGAAACAATGCTTTTTGATATACATTACTTGTGACAATGACAAAGTAGTAGTGTTCTAGTTTGCCTTTTTTTGTACCTTTTTAAAAGACGGACATCATCAGAAGTTGCTCTATATTTTTATAAGTAATCGAAAACAATATTCTTTTTCAGAATATCGGTTATTACTGCAAATATTAACAGTCCTCCATATTTTATAATTTTTAGTTCCAGAAAATATTAACATACCAATGAAATATTAAAAGATTAAACCTGTTCTTCTGCCAAAAATTTTCAAAAAAAATACAAAACTAATCTTGTTTTATTATAAAATAAATAAAAAAAAATCCCTTCATGCCAAGCTCCAACTCCCTCAAAATTGAATCTTCTAATGTTAAATCAAAATTCTCTTACATTATATCACAACCTCTGATATTGGAAAATCTAAAGTACAATAATAGATACTTTTATGCTCCGGTAACGAAATTTATTTTGCATAATTATATATTTTGTTTGCCGAAATTTGTCTTCCTAGTAAACATATCTTATGCCGTCCGAATAAAATACTTCAAGCGTTATGTCTGAAGAGGTTTGTGTTCTATATTCTTTACAAGCTGTACCTTTTAGTGGTTTATTATTAATTCAGAATTGTATTTGCACACAAAATTTATTACGTCTTATACAGGAAACTACAAATCACACTTAAACAACACTTCAGAATCCATGCAATCGGCTTGTCACGTGACCAAACAAGTTACGTTTTTTACGTAGCAAGTCGGTCAGCCAATAGTGATTCAGCATTGTCACAGCAGGGGGTACGGCGAGTACGTTTTAGGAACATGCTTACGGAAATCGGCGTAAAATGCTGGTACCTGGGCTGATTTTGCGCATGCGCCAACGTAGGTGGTGTGAATAGCTTCTTAGCTATTCGCACCGCCGGTGCGATTAGCCACTGCGTGCTAAATCTGCTACAGAGATGAGATTCTACTGTTTTTAAGTCATAGGCAAAGTATTTTACTGTAATACGTACTTCACAGCAATGCTAACCTATCGCAGCTCGTGCGGCTCAGTGTTTTCGCTTCGGAATCACCCACAGAATGGAAACGGTTTGTGCAATCGTTGTAAAATTATACCTGCATACTCTCCTAGGCCTAAATCCGCGATTCCAGCGCTTTGATACGCTATCTAGTGGCTAAAAGGTGGAAAAATTAAAAATCGGTATTTACGTTTGACAACACTACGTAGTTTGTGAAGCGTGTTGAGATCGAAAAGTAATTAAACGTTTATTTTTTATTGTTGTGAGCATTACGTGTTCAGTCGTTTTAACCACTTGTGGGACAAATCTAAAAATGCTTGTAATATCATGTAATCAAAAGTTAACTACATGCTATATGCCAGGATTGCTTTCTCAAGTATTGAGTGGTAGGTAATACTTAATCTGCTCTTTTTTTTTGAAATGTTTGGTCATGGTATTATTCATTGCATGTATTTTCTATAATACATATAGAATACTAATATTTCTTTTATAAGTGTCTTTTCTTCATTTTTAAGTGCTTCGCTTGTTGATATTCTCAAAATTGCATCTGATAATTAGTGCTATTATGTATATAATAGATATAAATATAGATGAATATAATAGAACAAAATTTTTTTTAGTATATAATGATTCAATATTATTTTTATGGGGGGGGGGGAAAAGACACTTTTGACTGCACAGATTTTCTGCAAATCCCAAGTTAAACGCATATGAAGTCATTTGTTTACAATCAGTGAACGTTAAAATCAGCTACATGTCGCAATACAATAAAACAGTGACACAATTTCCTACAACAGCCAGCAGTTCTTCCTTTACATGAACAAGAAAATTAAAAAATTTTTTTTTTTACTTTTCCTTTTTAACAATGAAAAGCCCTTCGATTTCATGAGATCAGGACGCTATACAACTTATTCTTAAATAGGAAGCCAAAATTTGTAAATTGGATTTTTCAAGTAAAATTCCGTGCATTGCCAAATAATCCGCTTTTTAAAATTTAGTAACACAGCGAGAATTTACGCCTCCTTGAAGGAAATCAAACATTTCGGAAAAGCGAAGCAACTCCATTTTTGAATGTACGAAGTCAGATCACAGATCAAAATACCGGTTTTTATCCGCCACATTAATGTGTGAAAGCACTACCTATAGGTGAATTGAATCTCGGATAGACTGCCTACAAATACTTTTGGTAAAATTGCAACTTTGGTAATTTTGGTAGAATAGCGTGCCGGAAAGGGTTACACACTTCAACTCCAACTCCTTTACGTTGGGCTGATTGTTTGTAAACAAGTGCGCAGGTGTTTTTACATGTGTTCAGTGTTGGAAATCTGTTTTAGTTGGATTTTAATTTACTAAAGCTATGGGCGTCTGTACATCTTGTTGTGGAGATTCAGAACCACGTTATACAACACCGAGTAAAGTAACTAATCCTTCTGTCTCATTTTTAATATTTATATTGTCCAACCGTTTTTTTTTTTTTTCAGAAATAAAGGCACGTTTTAAATTAATTTGCTATGTATTCTATAAGTATTGACCTCTTAATTTTGCATACTTTTGTGTTTCAACGTAGTAAGTCAAAATATAAATTACATCATTAGATATGGCTGACCATTCATGTTCCATTTGAAACTTATTACAAATAATTGTTTTTCCTTCTGTTTATAGAATAATATCGTTTTATTTATTTTTTGCATTAAATGATGCTATTGCCTTTGTTTCATATTTGAATATGTACTGTAAACTACAATGCAAACGTTAGTCTTTTTCGTGTTATTATTAAGTTTACTTAAATGTTCCATGGAAACATACATGAAAAAATGATTTCCTTTTTTGATAAACATGTAATTCCAACAGATAAAATTAGGGGTTAATTTTTTCATGTGTATCAAGGAAATCTGTATTTAATGCAACATATTAAGACAAATAATGTTTTGAACTTGTTTTAAAATCCACTGTATACAACTGGTTCTTATATGAAAACTTAAAATGAGCAGCATAAAATTGAGCCAACTTATTTTAAAATTTTTTCAATTGATTTAATGCATACTGATGAATGCTTTGTATATTTATTTCTTCTTTGTAATCAGCATTCAATACACTCCTAAAAAGTTGCTGTAGATTTCTTTTTAAGTACAGTATGTTTGACATTTAAATACTAGTTCACCATGAAGTTCTATACTTGATTAGTATGTTGTACCCTGCTTCCATGTCATCATTCAAACTTGATGTACAATTTTCATTTTAAAATTTAGATTAGTAATTAAAATTGAGGTTAGACTAAGTATTGTGTTCTTCATGACAGTGTATTTCATTTGCATAGCTGGAGGGGAAGGTCATTTTTTGGGATGGTATTGTTTATGTTAAACATATAGGGGTTAGTCAAATGGGTGTTTGGAGCAAAAAAAAGGCCTGGGATTTATTGGATTATAGCAAAACTTACTACTTTTATCTCTCTAGGGGTAAGCATGACTTTAGAGGATTGAAGTTATTCACTGACGGTTTAAAAACTGGAGAAGTGACTCATATCATGAATACAATATTATATTCCCTACATTACGTATAAGGCAAACCCATGAGATGAACATGCAGGTATGATATTTTTTGGGATCTTATTCCAAGTCAAACTACCTGTATTCAGCCATTGGTAAAAGTATAGTTTAGGGTACCCCTTGGGGTTTTTTGGCGGTACATGGATACCGATTTTGTGCAATTCTTTGACTCGTCATTTTGGCTTGCGAAGCGGCGATTTTTCCGCAAAACATCGCCGCTACTCAAAGCCAAAATAACAAGACAAACAATTGCACAAACATGGTATCCATCAGGGCATAGCTAGAGGGGAGCATCTGTCCCCGGGCGCAGAATCCAAGGGATGCCAAACTGATGTTACGACATTTTAGAATTAAATGTTTTCCATCCTTGACGAGCAGTAGGGGGCATGAAATCTTCAGTTGTCCCTAGGCGCTGAAAACCCTAGCTACGACTCTGGTAATGTACACATCGACTTATTTTCACTTTAAAAAAAATCCCCGAATGGCATTGCACACTCCTTTGACTTTATCCATGTACACGTCAACCTATTTTCACTTTAAAAAAAATCCCAGAATTGCACAAACTTGCATTGCGCACTCCCTTTACTTTGTCCGTGTGCACATCGATATATTTTCACTTAAAAAGTTAAAGGAGCACCCAATTCTACAATATAGACAAACAAAAAAGACATAATCTCAATAAAATACATTTTAAACCAAACAATAAAATAACATAAAATAGGAAAAACATGTTATACATTTAAGCACTACCAAAAGTAAATATTCACTTACCATGATTTTCGAGTTCACTTCGTACACCCAGAGCCACGTAGAAATCAAAATATTAATCATACTCAAATGACTTTTTTTCAAACCAGGCACTCTTTCTGATTGAAGGCTTCCCATAGTGACCATCTGAACCTTTCTTCCTGCAAACCCATTCAAATCTATCTAAACGGTTTTTACGTTCGCACATCCTTCCTACATACAGGGCACTTATAATGGCTACTAAGTAAACCTTCATTTACACACCAACAGTCAATTAAAGCTTCTCTTTTCCCCTTTTCGTTTCCAAATCGTACAGAAACTTCAAATTAATCTTACCACAATTCAGCCATTCTACCGTCTAAACAACAAAATCAAAACTAACACACAACACAAAAACGCTTACAAAACATCCCATGATTCAAAATTTTCCAGAATCATGCACCCGATTACATCATAATAGGGTTTCCATAACATTCAACTACTCAGGCTACCATAAATGAAAGAACAACTTGGTGATAAATCAAACAACAACTTCGCCATAATACAAGGGATACCTTAAAGTCTACTCTACCACAGCCATTTTTATCCACTCATTAATTGGTTAAGTGATGAACCACGAGATGTCATATAATAGAACTAAGAAGATAGCTGTTTTCACTTTGAACATGCTTTCTTACTTGATTGAAAAATACAAAAGTCAAATTATGATAAAAAAAGGAATAGTTTCTAATTGAGAATTTTTTTTTTTTTTTTTTTTTTTTTTTTTTTTTTTTTTTTTTTACTGCTTGGGAAGGAACAACATCCAAATTTCAAAAATGCAGTTCCCAAATATTTTATTATTATTGTGAGTTTTCCTCACAAATGATGTTTGTATTATTTGTTATGGGAAGAATTTTTATAAATGCAAATTAGTTAAGAAGTATACAAGATCTAAAAATGAGTACCTTGTACTAAAGAAATTGTACTGTATTATCTGTGGAAGAGCAGAGGTGGTACAGATTGGGCATAAAACACTCCCTGATACATGAATTCATGGTAGCCTATTTGCTAAACCAAAATTAGATTTCCAGTTTTGTTATTTAAAAGTATGCACTCAAGATTGTGATGATTTAAAACAATAGAGCTTTCACAGTTATGGCTACAAAAATTTTGAAATTTTCAAATGGCAACACCCACTTTTTTTCTGTGCAAATTGATCAATGCAACAAAAAACCACAAATGACTTAGAATGATACACCTATGAGAAAAACTGCAAACGTAAATCATTTGCAAAGAAGAACATTTTAAAGAGTTAATCATAATAAAAGAGGTGACAGAATACACGTGGGATATTATTGACAATAATGATGAACATAAGATTGCGGGAGGAATCTGTATAATTTCATCTTTTATGGCATCTTTCCAATCTGACAGCTAACATTCATGTGTGGTTAGCAAATACTGAAAGAGCATTTACAGAATCACCTCATGATAATCAGTTTTAATGACCACCGTGATTCTCTGACCTCACTCCGATGGAATTTTGATTTTCGGATTATGTGAAATCTGATAAATTTTTAATATTTATATTGTCCATTTATTTTTCAGAAATAAAGGCACGTTTTAAATTAATTTGCTATATATTCTATGAGTTTTGACCTCTTAATTTTGCATATTTTTTGTATTTCAACATATTAAGTCAAAACATACATTACATCATTAGATATGGCTGACCATTTATGTTACATTTGAAACTTATTACAATTATTAATTATGTGTAATTTTCAGTTCGGTTAGAGTAGATTTAAGGGTGCCCCTTGGATTATCGCTGTTTTTGTTTCATTTATCGTAACCTGAGCAGTTGAATGTTATGGAACCTCTATTATGACATAATTGGTTGAGTGATTGCGGTAATTTGAATGATGGGAAAAGATTTGTAAGGACTTATGTGTATGCTGGTTATTTTGTGTTTTACACAGTAAAATGGCTGAATGTGGTAAAATTTGAATTTCTGTACGATTTGGAATGAAAGGAGAAAAAAGCATAAATTGACGGGTGTGTAAATGAAAGTTTACTTGGTAGCCATTATAAGTGTCCTGTTTGTAGGAAGGAAATGCGTATGGTCGAACGTCAGAGGATATTTTTTACTCTTATTTTTTGAATTTATGTTGCAACAACAGTATACAGATAATTTTAGGAAGTTTTTGAATTTATGTTGCAACAACAGTATACAGATAATTTTAGGAAGTTTTTGAATGCTGTTGAGAAATTTTGTTTGACTGAAGACATGAAAATTTGTAAAAGTTTATATTTCCTTTGTGTAGTGCTAAGATTTCCTTTTTTATGTTATTTCATAGTTTGATTTAAAATGTAGTTTATTGAGATTATATATTTTTTGTTGGCTGTTCTTTTGACATTTTAAGTGAATATAGATCGATATGTACATGGAAAACGTTAAGGTAGTGCACAATGCCTAGTTTGTGCAATTCTTTGTTTTTTTAAGTGAAAATAGGTCCATGTGTACATTGATACCAAGTTTATGCAATTTTTTGACTTGCTATTTTGGATTTGTGTAGCAGCAATTTTTGCACCTCAATGTAACCAAAGTCAAAGAATTGCACAAACTCGGTGTCCATGTACTGCCAAAAATCGCCAAGTGGCACCTGTAAATATATTTTTACCTTCAGTTCTGACAAATCTTGTGGAACTGATCAATTTGTACTGGAAAAAATTGGGTGTCGCTGTTCAAAAATATTGATATATTTCGAACTGTATCATGATATACTTATAAAAATCTTCTTGTTTAACAAATTGGTATCTTATGTACTTGCAAGTAACACCGGTGATGGGATTTTAAACCAATACGATATTTTATTAATAATGTTGAGTAATTGAAAAGTATCTACAAAAAATGTTGATTAAGTTTTATTTTATTATCTTATCATTAATGAGAAGTCTGCATCTGCATGTCTCAAAATCAGGTGTTCATAATTGGGTCCACATCCAGGCCTAGTTAATGAAAATGAGTCTTCAGTATGAGGAAGGAATGATATTTAGTCTTTGTGAACTTTAAAAATATAAAAACTTATTCTCATAAGTACGCATATCTTAAGCAACAGTAGCTATATGGCTATATTTGCTGGGATATTTTCTCGATTCACATATTTGACTTCAGTCTGGATTGTAAGATTAGATAAGTTTGCAGAGTCAATGCAAAATATGATTTTCAAAATCATGAAATATGACTCCATAGTCTTCAATTTAGTTTTTAATATATAGCATTATAACACTGTCTTGTTTTCCATTAAATTTAGCTAGCTCATTTAAAATCAAATTAAAGGAGATACATAAGATTCTGTGGAGTGAATTAATTACTACCACTAGAATTTCTGAACTCTTAAGCACAGAAAAAATGACTACTTTAAATCTCTGAAGGTTAAATTAAAAGTATACAATATAAATTAACTAGTTATTTGAATCTAGCATAAATACAAAGTTCCTTCAAACTACTGTAAATTCAAAGAGTTTAATCTATTTTTACCAAAGGTTTATGAACTTTGCCTGCACTGCAAAAGAGATTAAGACTTGTAATTTTCCATCCTAACTCTATCTTAGCACTGTAATATTTAATTCAAGGCTAGCACAAGTTTTCAAGAGAGAGGAAAGCTTTAAATGCCATGTGCAGTTTTTCTAATTTAGTAAAACTGCATCCAGTTCAAATCTACATAAATTCTGGTTTCAGGAATGAGGCAAATAGGAAAAAAATTATTTTTATTATTTGGCAAGATAAGGGAAATAGGAAAGATGTAAATTAAATATTTGGTTAGTACTATAACTTAAATGCCACGGTATAGTAAAATTTGTTTTGTAATAAAAGTTGTTAATACTACTGACCATTTCAGTTATCTTGCTTTATCCTTGCAATTCTTACATTACTTAAATTTGATGGAAAATCTGTGAGAAATGCTAAATCTGTAAAGTTCCAGTATTTAAATTTGCACATTTTTTATCTTGCTTTTCGAGAATTTTTTTAAATCTCAATATCATTGCAGATATTTACTTCTACTTTAGCAGGCTTATATGAGTATGTAATAATAATTTTTGTTGTCCTTCAGCATGTTGTAACATAGGAAGAGATGCCATTTGAAAGAACTTTGTGTAATGGAATAAATAATTTTGAATACTATATCCATTATTTCTTTTGTATTTAGTCTTTTGCTGTCTAATAGGGGTGATGGAGTATGGAGCAGTATCTAAAAGAACTTAGAAAATCATTTTAGCATAGAGTTATAAATCCGTTATGTGGCCTTTTATGCATCTGCTCCATTTGAAAAACTAATTTAAAAAGTGGTAGTTTCAAATTGGAAAACTTTTAAATACTGATTATGTCTACACCTGTTGTCCTTTTTCTCAAAGAAATTATACCCAACATTTCATTTTTAGATGTATAATCTTTTCAAAACCATAAAAAAAAAAAGTTGTGCTGTGTCACTTATACCTGTAGGTCAAATTCAACTGATGATGATTACTTTGAGGATTAGCGATGATTATTATTTGTATTATGACTTTTTTCTTCCTGACTGTCCAAAATGGCAAGAACATTTTTGGTTACCTTGTAGAATATTTGGAGTGCATTCGGAGGGCAAAATAGTCAGTGGCATAGCTCTGGTTATGCCATTGATTAGTGTTATAAAAGGTTAATTTAATTTACATATATTGTTGGTGAAGAATAATATGTATTTTTATGATGACAGGATGAAAGACGACAGAAAATGATTGAAGCTGCTGAAAGGCGTCTTCAAGAACAAGAAAGAAGAGGCCTGAAGGAAGATGGAGTAAGACGTTTAGAACAAAGTAAAGAAAGAGCAAAAAAGATTGATGAAGCATTAGAAAAATCAAATTCAGATGGACCTTTAAGGGTAAGCTTTCTAATTTCATATTATGGAGCATTTTTATTTTGAAATACTTGGTAGGTTATCAGTATTTGTTGGATACATTTATGAAAAAAAAAAGAGAGCATATCTGTAAAGGTGTGTATCAGTTTTACCAGCGATTAATTCCACTTGAGTGGCATTTATTGCATAATGATATAGCAAACCCATAACCAAAATCAAGGAAAATCTTTTTTTCTTTGTGACACAAACTTGCATAATATATCAAGATTTGTTACAAATTATGTAACAAATTAAAAATGTTCAAATGAATTTTGGAGAAAAGTATATAATTTTTTAATGCAGAAATAATTTTAAGTTTTGGTTTATTAGAATATCGGTAGCTAGAAAAAAATGTATCAAAAGTGATTGTTAACTATATATACTGAAATTCATCTATTGTAATACAGAGGCTGTTTCGCACATTTTTTAGACGATTTTGGTAAGAGATAATAAAATATCATTTGCTGCAAAAGAAGCAATTGCAATTGTACTATGTTTTTAAAAGTCAAAATTATCGTCTGTGGCTTGAAAGTTTTGTTTTTATTCAAAATGGTGAATTTAACAAAGCAGTGGTTCGAAGGCTACATTTACACTCTTTCCGAAGAGAAATATGCATACTCCGTTATCCAAAAACGATGTGAGAGTCATGGTTTTGTGACACCTAAAACATCGATAGGTAATATCAACAAGAAAGGAAAAATAACGTCAAATTGGAGCCTCAAGTGGGACAAAAATTCCAAACAAGTATCCAAGGAAAAAACGGACATCTTCGACTATTGCAAAGGTACGTTGTTTAATGTTAAAAGAAAATCCCCCTAGTCAAAGGACAGTTGCAAAATCATTAAAATGCTCGGTGTCCACTGTAAACAAAATGATAAACGTTGATTTAAATCTTAAGAGGGAAAAAACGCAATGTGCATCGTCTTCTTCCAAAGCATATTGCTCAACGCAGGACACGCTGCAGAATTCTATATGAGAAACACTTATCCAAAGAAAAATGGAAAACAATTGTCACAATAGATGAAGCATGGGTGTATTTAAATGATTGTAACAAAAAAAAAAAAAAAAAAAAAAAAAAAAAAAGAGGGCCATTTATTATAAAAGGGGAGAAAAAAATTTAAGTACATGGTTTAAAGAAACGAAAGTTTTTCTAAGGGACTCGTGATTGTTGCTGGTTTTTTATATAATTGCAAGTTAAAAATAAAGAGAGTGCAAAAAAATGCCAAGATTAACTCCAAATACTACCAGGAACATATTTTATCGCCAATTTTTCTGAATGAAATACCATCGCTTTACCCACAGTGCCATCAATCTGTCAGACTCCATCAGGACAAAGCTAGCAGTCACACATCAAAATCCACTGTAAATTTCCTAAAAGAAATGGAACAAAAAAATTGTATCAAAAGGCCATACCCTTCACTGATATCCCTACTAAATCTCCCGATGTGTCACTATGGATTTTTGTGCTTTCAGAAAACTGCATTACCCAAACGTTGTCCCAAAACCCTAACAGGACTATGGGAAGCTGTTCGGGAATGGGATGGAATACCTCTTCTGCCACTTCAAAAGGCATTATTATCCTGGAAATTGCGGGGTCGAAAGATAGTTCAGAATAAGGGATGTCAAGTAGAACATTTAAAACACAAGAATTTTATGTAATTTAGTTTTGTGAATACAATATACATCGTCTAAAAAATGTGTGAATGTGTGTATTGACTTTTTGATATTAGTATGTTATTAAATCTTTTTTTTTTTTTTTTAAATGTATATATTCAAAATGGTACTAACAATTTTATAATTTTTTTGGTTGTGGATGTACTGAAATTTTTTCTGAGTAACTTAATTCAAGTTGTAAATTTCAGCATTCAATATTAGGGAGTCTTGGATAAAGTGGGCGCTCCAATGACTGAGTGATAATGTCGCTGAACACTGGTAGTTCATGTCGAGGTTCGAATCCCACGAACCAGCTGGCTGCATGGGCATTTTCCTTATGTGTAATGCGTATATAAACCAGTTTCCCTTAGAAAGTCGTCCCTCTCCTTAGGCCTCCCTCCCCGAGGCTTTGCTGTAATAACATAAAAAGAGGATTAAAAAAGTTTTATTATATGTGAAATGTATATTATGACACAATTTAAGTCGGCATATTTTTCTTTCTCCCCCTTGCACTTTCAATTTTTCAGTATTTTTGCCAACGTAGCATTTTATATGATCTTAACACCTTAAATTTTAATAACCGGTTTTCTTAGCTTCATTTTTCAATCAATCATTTCCATATTTTTAAATGTAAAATGTTAATTTATCACAGTTAAGTGTGTGGGGGCATTTCTTCAGATGTTTTCTCCTTATTTGGATTATGATTTGAGATGTAATTTTTATAAAGTTTTTACTAAAACAAGACTTGCAAACTTATTACTGAATTTTTTGCATATATTACTAAATTTTATGCCCATACATTTTTTTTTATGTGCTTATTCCAGATTTCAAAATTTCATGATTGTAGATACTAAAATAATAATGAGTAGCATTGAAAAAGAAAGTTTTGAGTTTTTGTGAATCAGCTGAATATTTAAGTATTTTAATAGCAAATCATATTATGGATATTTTAAACATAAAAAATCTGATTTAAAATTTTGTAGCAGCTAAAATTAGGTGAATAAAAATGTAATGAATGGTATATTACATAATCTAGTCCAAATTTGTAATTTTTTTTAGTGTGATGATTTAGAAAATTTGCTTTTATGTATACGTAGGCATATTGTGCTTTTAATATGGTTAAGAAATAGAAGTTTGTTGAAATTAATTAAATTTTATTTGCAAACTACTATTTTTAAAATAAACGTTGCACCAGGGCACTTGATACCCATGAGTTAAGTCTGCTTGAAATATACCCAATTTCAATCAGTGGCTAAAAGTTTGAACTATTAGTTATTCACTCCGACTTCTCTTTCTGATGAGTTCTGCTAGAAAATTGCGACAGCTTTGGTGTGCTGCACCATCTGATTCCATTTTACTATATTCACCCAGATTTATAAATTACAGTTAACGATTATAATTCAAAACAAGTTTTTTTAGGGTACTTTCTGGCAAACAGTGCAAAATATTTTTGCCCATTGAAGAAGGAAGACCCATGTTTTACCTATGCATAGTTTTTTTTTTTTTTTTTTTTTTTTTTTCTCTCGTAAAAACTAAGGCCAAAACTAAGATTAGGTTTTGCCTAGCCTTGTGATGGTAGGATGCTGGTAATGTCACTTAGCGATGAGCAACATCAGTTCATTAGAAATACTGAAATATAATAAATAACAAGTATAATTGTTTTGCAGAATATATATATATTTTTATTAAAGTCAACCTTCCTTTTTCTAAGCTGATTTTAATGAAACCAAAAAATTGACATTTGTTATATTCAAACACAAAAAATTAGTGAAGTATTTACTTTTGGATCTAGGGTAGTTTGGTTTTAAGAATTTTACTTAATGAGAAAGATTTCATATAAGTATAAAATTTGCCAAAATAATTTCAATAATTAGTAATCTCCCAAAACAAATTTTTATAAACAAAAAAAAAAAAAAATAACTGTCCTAGATATTAATATGCAGGTTCTTTTTTTTTTGTTTTGCATATGTAGTTCGTTGGTCTATTTGGAGAAAAGTTACTGCTGTTAAATTTTATTTTTGTTGGTTTATAATTACACAAATTTTGATTTTCTAATTTATATGTTACAAACTTACCTTTACAAAGAAATTTATATATTCATTTCATTCTGTTATAGTGGCAAGTCTCCTAAGAAGCTGAAATTACCAGAATTTTTATTGTATCTGTTGTAAAGTTATGTTCAGAAATATTGTTAACATTGTTTACAATTTTTTTTATTGTCTATAATTCCAGTATTACAGACATTAATAGTCATCTGTAAAATTTTGATTTCTAGAAGATATATTTTTGCATATTAAAATTTTTTCTTTAATGTTTTTGCCATAAATAAGTTTTGAAGTATCTTGTCATTTCCAGATTGTAATAGCATACTTCAATGAATTTTTTTTAATATAAAACTAACGATTGAAATTTTCTCCCATTATATGAGATCTTTAATAACTTAAAATAAATGGCTTGAATGTAAATATATACATGTTTTACATTTCTTTTTAAAAACGGAAAAATTTGAAAAATCACATAGAACATGAAAGTGAAAAAATATAATTCACTGTTGTTTATTGATAAGTATTTGCTTTCAATAGTCCTTAAATTTATATTCCTGTATTCAGATAAAATTCCTGAATATTTTGATAATCTGTGTGTATATTTCGAGTTACATGAATAATGCCAGTAATGTTTACTAACAAAGACTATCATTTTAATTTAGGAACTTAAAATTGATTATAATTTTTCTTTCTCAAACATGTGATGTGACGATGAAAAATCATCTTTGCAAATATTTCATCCTTAAAATTTTTCCTATCCTGATAAACATAATATTTAATTCATTTGTTTATGCTTATTTTATTTCTGATGAATCTAATTTATAGTTCAAATTCTATTTTAAGAAAGCTTTTACTAAAAGCAAGAAATTTCGACACTTTTATTAATGCCTGCAGATTTTGAAAGATTAGTAATTTGTGATATTTTGTTTTGGACATTTTAATAATAAAGAATTTTAAAAACTTTGATATGAATTCTTTTGTTATGAAGAAATACTTGTACCGTTTTCTTTCATAAAGCGAGTTGCTTCCAGTATCTAAAATTTCTATTAAAAAGGTCTATTTTACTAAAACAGAATATACAGTAAGTAGTTTCTAGAAAATTTAATACATTGTCAAAGTAATTTTATAGATGTATGCAATAGAAAATTTCATAGACATTTGAGAGGTATTGCAGTTATCATAAATAGGTGTGTAATTTATCAAACTTATAAAAAGGAATATTTATTATCTTTCACACTGGGGGGGAGGGCAGCATTTTGGAAACTGCAGAATTTGAGAATCGCTTGCATGCTGCTCTGATGAAAGTGTGTTATGATAGACAAAATAGCATTGTATAAAATATGTATCATGAAAACCATACAGCTTTATAAGCTAGAGATGCAAGAGGTAAACACCCTTTTGTGGCAATGTACTTAGGCTTATCAACATGACAGCACAATGAACCTTAGTGTGTATGAGGTTCCACAGCAGATGGATGATGATATCGCCTATGCTCATGACTGTTCATCGATAGAAGATGGAAATAGCATGATTATTAAGAGGTTTTCTGATGAATGATTTTTCTTTATTTGACAGATAAACACTGGTGGATACAGAAAGAATCATTAGAAAACAAACACCCCTCAACTATCTTTGCCTCCCCCAGCTTATGTTCATCAAGTGTTACAGTTCATGACAGTTTCAGGTTCAGTACTAATCCTTGCAAACCCTCTTATACACACACTTTCCCTCTGGGAATACACATACTTTTCCCTCTGGGAATGATGGCATCTTACAGCAACACAGATAGGAATGTAAGTAGATGGAAATGTGAAAAAGACATTATTGTACTTCCCTGGCTTGCAAATTCTCCAGACTTAAAAACCCAACTGAAAATTTATGGTATAACAGACTGTTTGCTATATGGATCCTCAGCCACACACCTTCCAGTAGCTGTTAACTACACTGCAATCAAAATTCTATACCTTTGTGAACACTTTCAAAAACAGTTTCTCCAAGCCACTATCCATGTTAGCCACTATCCATGTTAGTTTTTCCGGACATGTGGTCACATTAATATGACTGTATATATAAATCTGTTATATATACACAAATCTGTCACTAATATAAATATTAAAATATTATGGTCTGTTAAATTAATATTAAATATTAAAATTGTTAATATTAAATATTATAATTCTGTCTACTAAATTTGGTTTTTAAAATTTCTTCAGATTCTGGAGCTTTAAAAAAATTATTTACATCAAACAGATAAGCATTCTATGATGTGAGGGAAAGAAATAGCAGTCAAGCATTTCATGTAGAGGAAGTAAGATGACAAAGCTAATATCTGCAAAATTTTCAAATTTAAAAAAGATGTCATACATCTTCCATCTATCCTCCCCCCCAAAAAAGAAACCTTACTAAATTTGACACTTGGTTTGAATCCATATTGATAAATAACTAATAAAATCCTTGCATATATTTAAGATTTTATTTCACATTTTAAATTTACTTTTCTTATCGCATGAAATATTACGTTATTAAGTAGCTTAATTTGTTTCCTGTAGTTAGGAGAAAATATTTTAGTGACAAGATACCTAAATCTTATCAGTAAATGTAATTAAGATAAAAAATTCTTTTTTTCTTTCCTGAATCATGAAATTTCAATGTGAAGTACGAAAATACATGTTACAACAAAAGCTGAAAATTATAGTTTTCATCATAGAAATCGGTTAATTTTTCTTTTTTATCCTTTAGTCTGAAAGTTTATTATTAGAATCCAAGATCTCAGTGAAGAATTTAACCATAAAACATTGAGTAAAAAAGTGGTAAAATGCTATATATAAATATATATATATACATACAAATCTGTCACTAATATAAATGTTAAAATATTATTACCATATAATCCTGTCTGCTAAATTTGGTTTTTTAAAAATTCTTTTGAAGCTTTAAAAAACTTATTCACATCAAACAGATAGGCATTCTATGATATATTTAAGATAATGTGAGGGAAAGAAATAGCAGTCTTAAAGAGTTCCTTATTTGTTCTGTTACTTTACATTGTAAAAATAGCATTGTATTTTATCTGTCAGATTTCAAACTTTCTAAAGCATCGAAAATTATAAAATATTTATCATTCTTTATAAAAATGATATTATCTACAAAACTAATGAATTATTATGGGAACTAATGAATTATTAAGAACTTTATTATCGACATAATAATCAGCATCCTTAAAATAGAGCTGTTAACCAGAAAAAACATACTTACCAATAAATGCACTGATTTTATATAATTTTGTTTATTAATGAAAGTGAGTAGAATGATAGTATTAAAAAATATGTTTGAGTGATTCAATCTTTTTTTTGGGTGGGGGCATTGAACAAATTAGAAATGAACCCAATATTCAATTTTAACGGTAATTTCTTTTTTGCCAGGACAGAAAACTGCAAAATGATTAAACTTGTTTTCTTAAATAATAAAATAAGTGGTTTATTTCTGAACATATCATTTTCAAAATTGTTTTGATTATGTTTTTCAGAAATTTTAAAATTTTCTATTAAAACTTTGAATATTTTATTTCATTTTTTAAAGAAAATAATATCCACCTGTAATTATAAAATAACTGTTACATTTTTACTTTTTTCAGTTATCACTCTAATCGGCTCTTAGAGTGCTACCATTCAGCAAAGCATAAGATCTTTAATCAGTCTGTAATTGTTTAACAAACTGAATAATCTAAAAGAAATAAATGCACATGATAATAATTTAAAACTTCATATTTTAGTAATCCATCTAGTTTAAAATACACTTAATTTACATCTAAGTGATGATTTTTATGGAACTCTCGTAATTAAAAAGATTTCAAAATACCATATACTACAGACTTTGGGTCTAAAATTATTATTATTATTTATTTTTTCTTACATCAGTTATTCATTACCTGGTATAATTTTATTAAAAAGAACAATTTCTGTGATATATCATTTCACTTCTAAATGGCATTAAATATTGGAATTGTTTTAAGAAGGAAATGCTTTTTAAAATTTGCTCATTTATGTTATATTTCATGTACTTCCATGAATTTCCTAGAATCTTTAAAAATACTTGAAAATCATTTTTACTTTCTCACAGTGTCTGGAACAAATCTGTAGCAACAATTAATAGTTACAACAATGGGAAATTTTAATACTGTGATTGGGTCTTTCAGCAATGGAAAAAAAAGTTGTATGAATAGATAAATCATTTGACATTAATATATTCTTTAAGTATTAAATTTGAAAATATTAATAGAAAAACAGTGCCTTTTCCAAAGGAAAGAGGAAAAAGAACTTCATTGATAAGTATCAGTCCAAAACTTATTTATATACACCAAAGGGCCATTACATTATAACCTATTAATATCATGTATATAACACTCTATTAATAACATGTAAGACCACCTTAGCCCTCAAAACTGCCAGCACTGGCATGGCATTGACTGCACAAAGTGCTCATACGTAGTCTGAGGTATCTGGTACCAAGTATTTTGAAATTAAGAATTTTTGTGAGGCTGTATGATTTAGAATAACTTTTGAGCTGCATAGCTATCAGTAGTTTAGAAACATTGTCTACAATTAATTCAAGAATCTTCTTCTTAATAAGTAATAAATGGTGTAAATCTGTAATTTATAAGTAGTGCATATTGATTTTTCTTATTTAAGGGGTGAAAACTTCAAAAGGTATGATTTTAATATAGACTTTCCTGAAAATTACAAAAAAGCAGAATAGCAAAAGATTTTCAGTCATACGCAATATGAAAAGAATGCACCTTAAGTAACGCAAATAACTTTTTATATATATATTACCTGAAATGTATAAAAGAAGGTATTGCATAGAACTTCTACGCAATATAGTGATTAATATTTCATACATTTCTAAAGGCCCATCTCCATGAAGAGTTAAAATTGCTCAGAACATAGTAAAGTCTCCCTAAAGACATGCCACCTGACAGCATTTCAATCTACACAAAGAGATTTTGTATCTAAGTAACTCAGAGCTACTAAGCAAATCAGAGTAGTCAAAGCAGATGATGTTAATTATATTCAATAAGAAACCTTCACTAATTTCAGTGTAAACATAATAATTTGTAGTTTTCACTGCCTTTATTTTTTTAAATAAGTTGTAATAATAAAACTACTAATAAACAAGAGGCTTAAAAGTGCACACATGTACACACACACATTTGTATCGACAGTCAAAGAGAACTGAAACACATTCCCGGATATCATGAAGTAAGCAATTGAAACAATTTTATACTTTTAGCCCTGATGATTGTGAATTAAAATAATTCAAAATTTGGTATACCAAATTATGTTCAACATCTTAGTTTTTTGCCATACTTCATTTCTTTACTTTTTAGCCTAAGGCTCAATATCACAAACTTCAGATTTATTGCTTTGTTTTAGTTTACAATTTCCACAGTTTTAAAAATTTAAGATTGCATTCTAAATTATTTTTATTTAATTTTTTTAAAAATGTTGAGTAGTGGTTTATTTTCTTAATTATACTGCTTACCTAATCTTAGCTGCTTTTGTACTTGATTTTAAGTTTTGAATATCCTAATTTTTTAATTCCAAATATATACATATAGTATTCATTTACATAAAATAAGAAAATAAATCAGTTACTTAATATATAGCATAAAATGTAACATACACTGCTCACAGTTAAGGAGTTTTTAAAAGCTTTTAAAAATAAAAACACCTTATGTGGATACCACAAGACTTCTTTATGGCATATTAAATTATATATGGGCTATTAAATAATAATTTTTGTTGCACTTCATTTAAATGTATTCTAACTTGATGAAAGATTCCTCACGGCAAGCTGAAAATGATACAAAAAAATTGCAAATTTTGAAATTAAATGTACTAGTCAATTTTTGTCATATAGGAGTCAACTTCAAAAAATTTTTTTTCATAATAAGTATTAAACTTTTCCAAATATAAGCACAGAAACACAGAGACAGTATTAAAAGTTAGATTTCCTTATTTGTTTAAAGTTATTATTAATTTTGTTTTTTAATTTGACATTGCCAAACCATGAATATTTTTGTCATTTGAAAAACTTGAAATCTATTTTGGAAAAAAAAGTTCTTTACTCTGTCCATATGTACGGAACGTCACATAAAAACATCATCCAAATGGACAATCAATGTCAGTGTGAATATTATTAGCACACTAAAATGGAACCTCAATGAAAAACTTTACTTTTTGAAGATAAAATGAAAATTTTAAAATAAACAGGAAGCAACTAATTTGGAGGAGGGGGGGAACTGGGAATCCTGTTTTCTACAATGATGAAAATTACTTACAAATGTCAGAATTCTAAAGACAATTTTCAGTCAAATGAATTCTTAGTTTCTAAACTTCAAATTCAAATGGGAAATTTGCTGATACTGAAGAACTGCATTTGCAGAGATTTAGTTAAGTTAAAACTGACTAAACAGAAAAATGATAAATATGAAAATTACAGGCAAACAGAATTTACTTGATACTGGATCATTTTTCAACAGGATAGCAGTAATTTTTTTGTAAAAGAAACACCAGCTGGCACTAAAGAGTTGTTTTTTATGTCACATATACATGCAATCGTTATCTTTGGCAAAAATTTTCAGCTGGTATGTCTTTGATGGAAAAATAATGGGATGACTTTATGAATTCTAGAGATATGATATAATGGAAGCCACAAGCAGAAAAATTTAGACAGTGCTATCACTAGGAATATTTGCTATGTTTAATAAACGAGTAATAATCCCATTTCAATAATGCAAAGACCAATAAATGCAAAGACACCTAATGCATAGGAAATGGGATTGTTTTATGATTCTCTTTCAAAATTAGCACATAAATCCAACACATGTAATAAGGAAAATCATTCAGGAAAACAAATCTAGATTATTCATATGTTAATGTTGATAGTTTTAAAAAAATTACTATAATTTAATATTGAAAATTCTCAAATATTCTAACAACCAAATAGGCTGCAAACAAAAAGGACATATATAATTATACCCTTAAAATTAATGGATTAAATAAAATAATTAGACAAAGAGACTTAAAAGCGTCAAAGATTTCCCAACTTTATTTCTCTAGAAAAGACATTTCTTGAAATATTTATTGTTAACAGTATTTGTAATTAAATTCCTTTTTTTATTGCAACTTGATATTTAAATAATCAGATATCAATTTTAAACTAGTACTTACTGCGGAATAAAAAGAACAGCATAAAGATTTAAAAAAATTAATTAAAATAATCTTTATTAGAGTAGCATATTTTTATATTTAAAATGCTCTTTGTAAGTTGCTATGGGTGAGATGCTTTATTAAGAAATTCTCAAGAAGTAACCTTATCTGTTAAATACTGCCATATTCTACTGTTTATTGACTAATATCCAGCTTACTATCTTGCAATTGAACTCTTCTAAACTGTTTAAGAAAGTTACAATCATTAGATTTAGGCATGATAAAAAATATGAAGGAATATTCTTAGTGCAATTATATATTGATAATCTGATTCTAAGTGTAGTTATGTAGTAAAACTAGAAAGAATAAAAGTTCATATCATACAAGCTATGGATTTTATGATCATGGCTTAGTATAAAGTATTATCTGAAAGTATCAATAGTGTTTGACTTATTTAAGGACTCACCTCACCCTTTTGCCCAGAATTAACAAGCGACACTCAGAATGATAAAGTACACAGACTGTGGTAACCATTTTCTGATATCAATCATTATTAAAAGTAGACAAAATAACACGAGAGACAACAGAATCAGAAAACAGGACTAAGAGGCAGATGGCTGCATTTTAACTTAACCTAATTTTGGATACTCACTAGAAAATTGTATTTAATTAATCACAATTCATGGAAGGGCACTAACAATAGTGAAGAGTGAAATTTTTAGAGAACATTTTAGAAAATCCCAGCAAACTATTTAAAAAGCAATTAATTATAGCATTATCTCAAAAATCAACAAGATATTAAACAAATTTTATATTTAACTTAATCAAGATTTATACAACTTCTGGGCTACTATTTATGTGAAAATTAATATTCATGCCCCAAAACTCTGCAAACGTTAAAAGTTAAGCAAAATATAAACAGCATACAGTTATAATTAATAACAAAACCTCTTTGCATTATTAAAAATAAAAGTTTACTATTTATTCATCAACTACTTAATCCATGGCATCAGCACTTAGAGGAAACTTGGCTGAGACCTAATGGTGTTTTCGTAGTTGGCTATATTTAGAAAATTTTCAGTTTATTTATTTGGCAAAATTTACAGAGTTGCAAACATAGAAATAATATTTAGATTTAAAAAAAATCATATGCAATTTTCCAAAAATCCACAAAAAAGAATGGCAAAAGAGTAAATAAATTGGGTGTATTAAAATATAGCAAAAAGTGTCCAGAGGCCATAACAAGCAAACTGCATCACATGTCAAGTGAACATTTAAAAAAAAAAAAAAAAAAAAGAGAGAGAGATTTGTAGAATTGGTAATGTAGTAATTATGGTTATTTTTTTACACAAAACTTTATTTATTTCTTGGTTAGTGTAAGAAATTAGAATCTTATAAAAATGAAGCTATCTGCTACCTTATTCTAGCAAAGTTATTAAATTTTATTTTTCTAATTAAATAATTACTCTTGGAAATGTTTCACATAACCTGAAAGTACAGAAATGCTGTGAATCAAGTATCATCAGTTATCACAATATTGAACATCAATCATATGGGCCAAGAGAAAAATACTTTTGTATATATTCTGTAGCAGTAAATAAATGAATATTTAGGTTTTATTAAACTTTCAAAACCATATAAATTTAATTAAAGAAAACAATAATACTAGTTATAACAAGATTATAAAACATCATAAATCTATTAACACACAGTGCTTTTTGTATAAAAACAGATAATTTTTTTATAGTTCCAAAAAAAGAAAAAAAAAAAATTATGTTCTACTTGTATGAATCAGCAGAAGAATCTTCAAATTGGGGATCTTTCTGTCTATATTTTGAAGGATCAAACATCACAGGTGACTAATTAAAAAAAAAAAAAAAAAAAAAAAAAATAAATAAATACATGTTAGATTAACCTGTTATTTAACATATAAATGAATACCATATACTTTCCATATATAAACCGATCCATATGTACACCAGAGGGCATTAACATGTATATAAGCTGAAATGGAGGGGGCTGCACAATCCTATAAAACACGAAGGGTGAAAACGTTGGGTAATAATTTTAAAGTACAGTACAAAGTCCATAATCCGCTCTCGTCGGGACTTTGGCGATTCTGTATTAGGGATTTTTCTGGATTATAGATCATCAATTTAAATCTGGTAAGATGGCATGCAGAAATTATACAATTAAAAATATGAAATCGTAATTTATGAAATAAAGAACAATTATGATCTAAAGGGTATCAAAATTTACAAAAAAAAAAAAAAAAAAAAAAAAAAAAAAAAAAAAAAAAAAAAGCTTGATATTTATTTGTTTGCTTTATTAAACATTTCTTTCAATGTAAGTTGTTTAAGATGCTTCCACAAAAAATTAAAAAGTTCCTTTTTCTTGTGTCATATATAGTGGACTTTCCAATGCCGCACAATCAGCAACATTAACTGAAATGCCTTAGATAATTTTGGCCCAACTTATACTGTCCGTTATACATTAAACCTGCATGCGTAAATGCACTGCGCATAAAGTTTGTAGCTTTGAGGTCTGGATTACAGACTTTTAACAATTTACAATCTTTTGTGCATTAACTACACAAAAGATTGATCTCCAATATAATGAAGTATTTAGTAATTCAAGTAAATAATACAGAGTTGCCAACTCTCCCGATTTAGGGGGAAGACTCCTGATTTTCGACCACTTTCCCACCAACCCGATTTACAATATATTTTCTCCAGACATTTTTTTATTCTTAAAATTTCTCACGATTTTTGTGGAACTTGGCTTAACACTTCGTTATCTGAACAAAAAAAAAAAAAAAAAAAAAAAAAAAAAAAAAAAAAAAAGGATTTCGGACGTTTGAAAGCAATTTAATTTTTTCTAGATTCAGATGAGAATTTCTGCTTTGCGAGTGAGAGCATATGTCTGTGAGGAAGGTTAAATACTCGTGTATGTTTCAAAATCATTCACAGTTGAGTTTCCTTCCATTATTTCCTTAAGGAAATGTAATAAATTTGCGTTGTGTACCGTCTGTGGTTGCGATTTTTCAATTTTACATGGTGGAAGGGCGGATGTTCTCAAACATGTGCGTACACAAAAACACAAGGACAACGTAAGTTGTTTTGAAAAAAATGAAAAATAAAATTTTTTTTTCGGAAACAAAGGACCAAAAAGTTATTAATGCAGAATGTCTGTTCTCTGCCTTTTTACTGGAGCACAACCTGCCACTGAATGCATCGAATCACGCTGCAGCTTTATTTAGAAAAAATGTTTGCCGATAGTGAAATCACTAAGAAATACTTATGTGCAACGACCAAAACAGGTGCAATTGTTAAAGAAATGGGTTTGAAAAATAAACCTTCAGTTATTGATTGCATTAAAACCGCTCCATTCTGCTTCTATACGGATGGAAGCAATAATACTGATTCAAAACCATATCCAATTGTTTCTTTTTTTAATCCAGAGTCTTCAGAAATTGAGTGCAGTTTACTTTCTGTCCCCACTTTAGAAGGACATTTGACAGGCTTTAATATTGCAGAGCTAATTATTAAAACTTTAAAAGAAAATGCAGTTCCTCTGGATAATTGCTCAGCAATTAGGGCCGATAATGCACCAGTAATGGTAGGCTTGAACACTGGTGTTGCAGGCATCTTAAGAAAGGAAAATTCAGATTTGCAGATTATGAGGTGCACCTGTCACCACTTAAATTTAGCAGCTGAAAAAGGGGCAGCTTCTTTACCAACAAATGTGGCTGAACACATTGTTGATGTTTATTATTATCTTGAAAGGAGTTCTAAAAGGAAGGAAAAATTAAAACAGTTTCCAACAGCTGTATAATACTGAAATGAGAAAAATTTTGAAACATACGTATGTGTACACGGTGGCTGTCTTTAAAGAAATGCTTATCTAGAATCTTCGATCAATGGAACCCACTTCTCTTGCATTTTTTAAAGAAGAAGTAAATGCTTCGAAAGTTAAGATAAAACGCTCTATTGCAAGTTATAAAATACTTAAAGTAAACGGAGATGTAGTTGCTACTTCCATTGTTAACAATAGGTTTGAGAAAAATAAAGTAATTTCTGCACCATTCAGCAATTCAACTGGCAATTCTCAAAATAATACTGCAAAATATAAGTGTAAAGCTGATATAAATTTCTCTCAAAATAAAAAAATTGCTCAACACACGAAACAATTTCTGATTATTGTAAGTTTATCTTGTGAAGAACGAATTTTATGTTTTTTCTTCGGACCTTAACAAAGCATTTTGCTTTTTTTTTTTACAATTCATTTTACCATCATTCGATCTTCTTAACACAGTTCTACAAAACAGAATTCCATTAATTCATGTTTTGCAATCAATGATTTATGATCTGTTTAAAGACATTTTATCAGAGTTTGTAAAACCAGTCTATGTTTTGTCTTGTAATTCTATATATGATGTGATTTATGGTGACATAGAAAATCAGAAGAAAGATGAAGATTTGATAATAGGAGCTGCAACAACAAAAGTAGTGGAAGAACTTTCAGAAGAAGACAAAAATAAGTTTATCTTCATGTTAGAAGTTACTTCTGTCGAGTATGTGATTACATTCTACATAAATTTCCATTCAACGATGAAGTGATTTTGCATGCTAAAGTTGCTGATGTTTCTGCTCTAGGCAAATGCATCTTTTTTTTGATATAAGGTACTTTTTGAACGGATTTCCTGTGTTACTTCATTTAGTCATGAAAGATGATGATATTGATGTTGCCAATGATTAATATTGCAGTTGAAATTTTGCAATTTACAATTAGAAAACTTAAATGAAGTTATAAAATCAGCTAGGATTGACACCCAGTGGAGTTTAATTGGAAAACTGAAAGGTGCTGATGGAATTTTAAAATATAGTGAACTGTCTAGAATTATGTTGGCCATCTTGACAGTTCCCCATAGTAATGCAGAATGTGAGAGAATTTTCAGTGTTGGTGAGAAAACAAGGACTAAATTTAGATCTAATATTAGTGATGACACATTAGAAAAACTTTTATTAGCAAAAGCAGGCCTATGTGGCAATTGCTATGAACAAAATTATGAAGTTTCTTTCTTAATGAAAGCAAAATCTGCCACTGGTTCATAACATTTGTACGAAAAACTGATTAAGGTGTCTTTTTTTTTTTTTTTAAATGATGCAAGTAATAAAAATGTTTTTTATGTGTAAGGTATTTTTATGATGCTTGCATTCAAGAATTAGTAACTATTTAAAGTTAATTCATTATTAAAAACTATAATTTTATCATTTAAAAAGTTTTTTAACATTACACAAAAACCTCTTGATTTTTGAGTCTCATAGGTTGGCAAGTATGATAATGTATTTTGCATTGAGTTGTTCTAGTTTACCAAATTTCGTATATATATTTTAGGTACTTTTCCATTTTGCCAGCACAGGTGATAAATTCACTAAAAATGGTACAACTGATGCCAAATGAAATATCCTTGCTGGTAACCTTTTATGCCTCATTTTCAAAACACATCGCAGCTATTTCTAATTCTTGTTTCTTTCAATCCTGGCATACAATTACATAGAATTTTTCCCACATAGTTCAATTTTATGCCCTAAGGCCATTTGGGGTAATTAAGTCAATTAGGATGCAATCAACACATTGAACTTGACAAAAACTGCTCCCCTGAAGGCGAAAATATAGAAAAGGCAAAGTCAAGGGTTAAATTCATCAATTGTAATGAGAATGCACTAACGAAGTAAAGCACTGCGTTTTTACATAATTTCTGAGTAAGCTATTCGTACGAATTGAAATAATTCTTGCATTTAAACTTGTATTCCATATAAAGATTTAACTTGAAATTATTGTAGATTATTACTGAGAGAATTAGATTTTTGTAGCATAGTTTACGTGAAATGAGATCACTTGGGTTCACGTGATATGAGCTGGGGAATCAGGATGTTTTACCATGAAAGAAGAGTAAATTCTTAATGTATTTTTACAAAATTTTAAACGATATTAAAATGTTTATGCCTTCAAAATAACAAAATTCTTAGAACTAACATTTGATAACATTTTTTATGTGTATACTGTGTGTTATCGCCAATAAAGTCTGCTTGGCAAGATTTGTGGCGGCGAAACGGAAAAGTACAATAATTTATTTGCATAAGAACCACTACATTCACCTGCTAGAGCTACACAATACAAGTTCTCAGTGAATTACTCCTTTGCTCTCAGAAAAGATGATCAACTTCATTTCCGACTTGCTCATGAGGCATTTTTGGGAGCAGCGCGAGGCAAGGATGTGAGATTCAGTGATTTGGCACTTTATCAGGGGATCGGACTCAAAAAGCCACGACACATCTCCGGTGATAACATTATCATGAAAATTTGGATTGTCATGAACACAATAAAAAAATTTTTGACAAATCATAAGGTAGGTTCATCGGTTAACACCTTCAGCACCAATTTTGCACAAACTTTTCTCAATCCGAAATTTTTGGTCACAATAATTTTTGGCAAGTTTAATTTTTCTTTCATATGTACCCTCAGTCTGCGGACAGAGTTCAAAAGATTTCACAGTTTCTTTCTTTTCGCTAACAATAGAATAGCTGACCCACTGGGTTAGGTGGTCTTCAGCTTCTTGAATCCCATTAATGGAATTAATAAAAAGAGCTTAGTACTGTGCCCTTTGGGAACTGATTACATTTACAGCTTAGTGTTGTGTCCTCTGGCAACTGACTATATTAAGTGAGGAATCCTGAATGAAGGACCAGAACATAGAAAGCACTGCAAAGTTGCAGTTGCTCGCAAAACGATACTGTTATTGTCAAGTTCATACTTGTAATGCATACAGACAGTTATACAATTAAATTAAATACAT